CACAGTCTGGGTCCTCATTTTACCCACCTCGGAAGGATGGAAGGCTGAGTCAACCCTGAGCCGGTGAGATTTGAACAGCCGGACTGCAGAACTGCAGTCAGCTGAAGTAGCCCGCTGCTGTGGGCGGGCTGGCATCGCCGGCTGGCAGAAGACACACCGAGTAACAATATCACAAGGGTTGGAAGGGACCCTGGAGGCCTTCTAGCCTAGCCCCCTCCTCAAGCAGGGAAACTTAGACCATCCCAGACAAGTGTCTTCTCAAAAACCTCCAGCGTTGGAGCAGCCGCAACTTCTGGTGGCAAGCTGTTCCACGGGTTAATTCTTCTGGCACTCAAAGACTCCCGTCCTTCCCTTCTCCGCCCCTCCCTCTGCCCCGAATGGCGTGACAGATCCCCCCCTTCCTCGCAATGCCCAGGGAAAAGGGCGCCCTCCTCCCTCCGTGCCAGGCTGGGTTTGAGACCCTCAGCTGCTCCAGCTGGCACCGCAGGGTGACGCTGGCATGACTCTGCAGGCATCTAGGCAAAGGGGGGTGGGGGGTGGGAGTCCGGAGCTTGTGCTGAGCGACAGGCGGCAGCTGTTGGCACAACTCGCTGGCGCGGCTGGGTAATGACCCCTCCCTGGTTCTTTCCTCCCCCAGGCTAAAGTGGTTGCCAACAACGACAAGAATCGGACTTATTCCGTCTGCTACGTGCCCAAGGTGGCTGGCTTACACAAGGTGAGATGACCATTCCCGGGGCGGCTGGGGTGGCCGGAAGGACGGGGTGACCTCTGCAGACTTAAAAAAACCCAGACTGCAAAATGCAGATTCCCCCAGCATTGAATTGTAACGTTGAATGGCATGGGGAAAAAGTGATTTAAAAGTGTAAGTTTTTCACACTTACAACCGTCGTAGCACCGTTGCGCGTGATTAAAATTCAGAGGCTTGGCAACTGGCATGTACTTGTGACAGTTGCGGAGTCCCCTTTTGCGACCGTCGGACGAGCAAAAAAAACCAAACAGATTCATTTAACAACCCTTGTTACTGCTGTTTGGGAGGGGCGAGGTGGCTCAGTGGCTAAGACGCTGAGCTTGTCGATCAGAAAGGTCGGCAGTTCGGCGGTTCGAATCCCTAGTAACGGAGCGAGCTCCCGTGACGTGTCCCAGCTTCTGCCAACCTAGCAGTTCGAAAGCAGGTAAAAAATGCAAGTAGAAAAATAGGGGCCACCTTTGGTGGGAAGGGAACAGCGTTCCAAGCACTTTTGGCATTTAAGTCATGCCAGCCACATGACCACAGAGACGTCTTCAGACAGCGCTGGCTCTTCGGCTTTGAAATGGAGATGAGCACCGCCCCCTAGAGTCAGGAACATCTATCACATATGTGCGCGGAG